CGCCGCCATCTTGGGCCTCCTGAGGGCCCCTCGGAAAAAGCCTCGGGGTTCCAGAATTCCCTCGAATTCCCTCGAATTCCCTCGCTCCGCGGCTCCCTGGTGTTAGTTTTTAGGGTCGAAGCGAGGGGATGGAGTTTTGGGGGAGCTCGGCGTGAGGCGAATCAATCCCACGAAAAGCACCAAATAGCCAAAAAAACCCACTCAAATCCAGCTCCGCTTTCCGCCACTTTATTCCCGAAAGGAGTAATTCCGTCATTTCATCATTCCACGGTGTTGTTTTCCAGGGTTGAGGGGACGGAGTTTGAGAGAGCTCAGAATCACCCCCATCCCTCCCCACTCAGGTCCTTTTTCCCATAAAAACACTCACTTGTTCCCTCAAAAAGACCCCAAATAGCCCAAAAAACACCCAAATCCGTCTCCGTTTTCCAACGCTTTATTCCCAAAAAAACCACCAAGTCACAGAAGGCAACTGAAATGGGGGGTGGGGAGAGCCAAAAAAAAAAAAAGGGAGAATAATGATAATTTCAGTGGTTTAAAGGTGTTTTTTTCCAAATTTTTTCAGCCTGTCCGGGAGTGTTCCATGGGAGAATTCCCAAAAAAAAAAGCTGGATTTGGCTGAAAATGGTGTCAGTGAAGGCAGTCGGTGATGAAGGGAAGGATTTGAGGGGGAAAAAGGATTTTTGGGACACGGGGGAAGGATTTTGGGGGATTTGGGATGTGGGGAAGGATTTGGGGGAAATGAAGGATTTTGGGGGAGAGATTTGGAGGGGCTGGAGGATTTTTTAGGGGGGGGGCTTGTGAAGGATTTCAGGTGGGACATGAAGGATTTTAGGGCCGAATAAAAGAATTTTAGGGTTGAAGGATTTTTGGGACGGTGAAGCATTTTGGGGAAAAATATGAAGAATTTTGGGATGGTGAAGCATTTTAGGGTGGAAAGAAGGATTTGGGATGGGATATGAAGCATTTTAGGGTGGAATGAAGGATTTGGGGTGAGACAAGAAGAATTTGGGGTGAGATAGGAAAGATTTGGGGTGAGATAGGAAGGATTTTGGGATGGAATGAAGGATTTGGGGTGGGATAAAGATTTGGGGTGGGCTAGGAAGGATTCTGGGATGGAATGAAGGATTTGGGGTGGGACAGGAACCATTCAACGTTCAAAATGAAACACTTGGGACACAACAAAACATTTTGGGGTGAAATGAAGCCTTTTGGGGTGAAATGAAGCCTTTTGGGGTGGGACATGAAGGATTTGGGGGGGGGGG